AGATTGAAATACACAAAGTACCTCTTCTGATCACAAATGAAATGAACTTAAAAATCAATAGCAGAAAAACTGGAAAACTGGAAATTGAACAATACACTTAGAAAATTAATGGCTCAAAAAAGAAATCACAGAAAAATTAGAAAATATCTTGAGACAAGTGATAATGAAAATACAACATACCAAAACTTATAGGATGCAGTAAAAGTAGTGCTAAAAGGGAAATTTATACCTGTAAACACATTAAAAAAGAAGAAATATCTCAAATTAACTTTATACTTTAAGGCACTAGAAAAAAAAAGGAACAAACTGAATGCAAAGCTAATAGAAGGAAGGAAATAATAAAAGATTAGAGAAAAGTAAAATAGTGAATAGAAAAACAATAGAGAAAATTAGCAAAACCAAGAGTTGGCTCTTTGAAAATATTAACAAAATGACAAACTTTTAGCTAGATTGACTAAGAAAAAAGAGAAGAGACTCAAATAATTAAATCAGAAATGAAAATGGGGAATCATTACAAATTTTTTTGGAAATAAAAGGATTATAAGATAGTACTGTGAACAATTGTACACTAAAAAATTGGATAACCTAGATAAAATGGACAAATTTTTGGAAATACGCAATCCACCAAGACTGAATCATGAAGAAATAGAAAACGTGAATAGACCTATAACTCATGAGAAGATTGAATTAGTAATCAAAAACCTTCCAACAAAGAAAAGCCTATGACCAGATGGCTTCACTGGTGGATTCTAACAAATATTTTAAAAAGAATTAGCACCAATCTTTCTCAAACTCTTCCCAAAAATTGAAGAGGAGGAAATACTTTCTGACTTATTTTATGAGGCCAGCATTACCCTGATACCAATGACAGACAAAGACATCACAAGAAAACTACAGACTAATATCCCTTATGAATACTGGTACAAAAATCCTCAAGAAATTAGTAGAAAACTGAATTCGACAGCACATTAGAAGAATTATACACCATGACCAAGTGGGATTTATTCCTCAAATGCAAGAATAGTTCAACATATGAAAATCAGTCAGTGTATTAGAATTAAGGGGGAAAATACCCCACGTGAGTATCTTATTAGATACAGAAAAAACTTTTGACAAAATACAACTCCTTTTCTTAAAAAAGAAAAGTACTCAAAAAACTAGGAATGGAAGGAAACTACTTCAACATAATAAAGACCATGTATGAAAAGCCCACAGCTAACACAGTACTTAATGGTGAAAGACCAAAAGCTTTTCCTTTAAGATTAGGAATAAGACAAAGATGCCTGCTTTTGCCACTTCTATTCAACATAGTACTGGAAATTCTAGCCAGAGCAATTAGGAAGGAGAAAGAAAAACATCCAAATTGGAAAGGAACAGGTAAAATTCTCACTTTCTGTAGATAGCATGATTTTATATGTAGAAAACTCTAAAGATCACACACACACACACACACACACACACACTATTAGAATACATGAATTCAGCAAATTTGCAGGAAACAAAATCAACACACAAAGATAGGTTGTGTTTCTAAACACTCACAATGAATTCTGAAAAGGAAATTAAGAAAACAATTCCATTTACAATAACATCAAACAGAGTAAAATACTTAGGAATAGACTTAGCTGAAGAGATGAAAGACATATACGATGAAAACTACAAAGCACTACTGAAAAAAATTAAAGAAGACATAAATGAATGGAATAATATCCTGTGTTCATGGATAGAAGACTTAATATTAAGATATCACAAAGCTATCTACAGATTCGATGCAATCCCTATCAAAATCCTAGTAATTTTTTTTTTTTTGCAGAAATGGAAATAATCCATCCTAAAATTCATATGGAATCTCAAGGGATCCCAGATAGCCAAAACAATCTTGAAAAAGAAGAACAAAGTTGGAATACTCACATTTCCTGGTTTTAAAACTTATTGCAAAGCTACAGTAATCAAGACAGTGTGATATTGGCATAAAGACAGATACACAGACCACTGGAACAAATGAGAAAGCCTAGAGATAAACATGTGTATATATGGCCAAATGACTTTTGACAAGGGTACCAAGATCATTCAATGGGCAAAGGACAGTCTCTTCAACAAATGGTGCTGGGAAAACTGGATATCCGCATGCAAAAGAATGAAGTTGGACCTTTACCTAATACCACATACAAAAATTAACTCAAAGTGGATCAAAGATCTAGATGTAGGACCTAAAACTATAAAACTCTTGGAAGAAAAAAAAGGGGAAAAGTTTCATGACATTGGATTTGGCAATGATTTCTTGATATGACACCAAAAGCACAGGCAACAAAAGAAAAAATAGATAAATTGGACTTCATCAAAATAAATAACTTCTGTGCACCAAAGGATGCTATCAACATCCTATTGATAGGGTAAAATGGCAACCAATGAGACGGGATAAAATATTTGCAAATCATGTATATGATTATATGTATCTGTATATATCCAGAATATATAAAGAACTCCTACAACTCAACAACAACAAAAAAGCCTGATTAAAAAATGAACAAAGGACTTGAATAGACATTTTTTCAAAGAAGATATACAGATGGCCAATAGACGCATGCAAAAATATTCAACATCATTGATCATTAGGGAAATGCAAATCAAAACCACAACAAGATACCATTTCACACCCATTAGGATGGCTATCATCAAAAAATAAAAAATGACAAGAATTGATGAGGATGTGAAGAGATTGAAACTCTCGTGAATTGCCAGTGGGAATGGAAAATGGTGCAGCCACTGTGGAAAACAGTATGTCAGTTCCTTAAAAAATTAAGCATAGAATTACCATATGATCCAGCAATTCCACCTCTGAGTGTATACCCAAAATAACTGAAAGCAGGGACTCAAAAAGATATTAATATTTGTATATCCACATTCATAGTAACATTATTCACAGTAGCCAAAAGGTGGATGCAACCCTAGTGCCCACTGATGGATGAACAAAACGTGTTATGTGCCTACCAGGGAATGTAACTCAGCCTCAGAGAGGAAGAAGAGTCTGACATACGCTACAACACAGATGCATCTTGAAGACATTATGCTAAGTGGAATAAGCCAGACATAAAAGGAAAAATTTTGTGTGATTCCATTTCTATGAGGTACCTATAATAGGCAAATTCATAGAGACGGCAAGAGGAACGATGGTTGCCAGAGCCGGGGGGGAGGGGGGAGAACCGGGAGTTAGTGTTTAGCAACTTCTGCAAGACGAAGGTAGTTTTGGAGATGGATGGTGGTGATGGGTGCACAACAGTGTGAATGTACTTAATGCCACTGAACCATATACTTAAAAATGGCTAAAATGGTTCATTTTATGTTGAATATATTTTAGCAGAATAAATTTTTAAAAAACAAAATATAATGAAAAAATGAGAGAGCGGAGTTGGAAAGAGTGAAGAACAAAGAAGAAAAAGAAAGGGAGAGGAAGGCAGCAGGTGTGGACCACGAGAAGGTGGCCCTGTAGCCAATCACAGCTTTCCCCAGGGTTGTTGGATGCCGGGCGGCCAGCCCCCAAACACATCCTTTCTGTGTCGCGCAGGTTGTCCTGCGATGTGCATTTACCCTTTCTCTGCCAGTCTTCCCGTGGCCCAGGAGGTAAGGGGACCCAGCAGAAGTTTGAGAAACAGCATCTCAGAGGTTGTCCTGGGTATTTGGTCTTTTTCAGTTCACCAAAGCCACTGAGAAGACACCCCAGTCCCTTTACAGAAAAGAGTACGTCCCCTTCCCAGGCCACAGACCGGACCAGATCTCCAGGTGGTACAGCAAGAGGAGAATTGAGGTAAGGGGGAGCGGCAGGTGACACTCAGGCCTGCCCCCTCCCAACGCTCAGGGGACACCAGCCAGCTTCCAGGCCTAGTACTCTCTTGGGAAAACAGAATCAGTCTCGCTAGTACTCTCCCAGCCCAGGGGCTACTGGGAGCATTAACCCATAATTACTGTGTGAGCCAGTGATGCGTTTGATCTCAAGCCGGCAGCATCCCCCCACCTGTATCTCAGCACCTGGATCACGCTCTTCCGACAGCAAACGGGCAAAGAGTGAGAAGAAGGTAAATGTTGAATTCAGGTGAATGTCGCGAGGAATCACACAAGCTGCTCCACAAGCAGGTGGTGACGTTTGGACGGACAGTGTTGGTGCCGCCTGCGCTCCGGCTGCCCACTCTTTTGTGTGCAGAGTCAAAGGTCACTCGCTATTGACTGGGCGCTTGTTTGTGCATGTCATTGCGTCCCAGGTGTCCGGAGCAGGGAGCCAGGGCACTGCAACCGCAGGACATACTCCACCCCCACGCCAACGAGGGGCACTCGAGGCATTTACTAACTTAGTGCGCCCAGTCGCTGAGATCCGGGCCCTTCCGGCAGCAGCAGGGAGAGCCCCCTCCTCCAGCAACCCCTGCGGGTACCTCCCACCAGGTGCGCCCCGGGGGAAAGCAAGCTTCAGGTGCTCAGCCACCAGGTGCACAGCTGTGCTCTGTCCCCACCACATCCTGGGAGTTGCTTCTTTTGCCAGCCTGCTGCTCTCAGAAGCAATTTCTGTCTCCCCACCCTGACCCCGCCTGACCCTACAGCAGCGCCAACTCAGGGTGGGAGCAGGTGGGCCCAGAATAAGGTGCAATTGGAGCATTTGAGAGCTTGAAGGGACCCAAGAAATCACTCAGCTCGGTGCCCAGAGGTGGTGAGTGTCTTTTCCGAGACACTTGGCTTGTGGTGAGGGACCGGGTGGGTCGCTGCTCTGCAGATCAGCAAGGCCCAAACTGGATATTCATTTCTAAGGATGCTGCTCAAACTGCCTGTTGTGCGCTGGGGCGTGGACGCAGCACCGCTCCTACGTGACTGCGTCAACTCTGCCAGCGATCATGTTTGTTCCAGTTCGCACGCCCCCACCAGGCAGCTTCCTTCTTCAGCTCCCACGCCCACCTCACTCTTCCTTCTCAGGCAAAAACTACCCCAAAGCCCAGATCCCAGCCACCTCCTTTCTCTCACTCTCACACGCCAAGCCCGTATTCCCCTGCCTTAGATCACCCCAGGGCCAAGTACTGGACAACGAGAGACCACCCCTGAACCCCAGAGCCCACTGAGATTATTCCAACTGTCCAATCCTAAGCCCGCTCCAGCTGCCTGCCCTGCCTCTCCCATCGGTGCCCATGGAAACCATGATGAAGGCTCTGCCCCCTCACGTGTCCCTGCGTGGCATGGTCTGCCCCTCCCCCTGGGAACTGTAAGTAATGAACTCTTCTTCCAAAGGCGATGTCTCCATGTCTGTGACCTTACCATGCCTGATTAAAGACAAATCCCAGGTACACGATGGAGCCAGCAGGGCCGCGCCCAAACCAAGAGAAACAGCAAGAAACTCCTTCTTGGCCTCTCCCCTCTCCCTGACATGATGCCTCCTCTGTTGATGGGAAACCCTACAACTCACTTTCCTGGGCACTGGACATACCCTGCGGGGTACCTGGTGCTGCAGATCTTGGGAACCCTGCTTAATGTCTGTGCCCACCCCTCCGTCTCCCTCCGGCATTGTGATCTGACTTATTTATGGAACCACGACTTGAAATATGGGGTGCAGCCAGCATTTCCCGACACGGCAGACACAGACCTCCCCGTCTGCGCCAGACAAGAGGACAAGCATGGAAATCGGCATTATCCTCCCTTGTAAATCAGCACAGCTCCCCGGGATTCCCTTCCAGGCCCGAGAGGATTTTCTTAGGAAAAGCCCCGGTGCAGGCAAACATCCCAGAGTAAGGAGAACATGGTTTTCTTCTCCTTGTAAATAGCTCCCCACTGAAGAAATCCCTGCCCTGGTTTCCAGCTGAGGGAGCCGTAAATCCTTTGCAAGAGAAGGCGATTTATGGAGCGTTCTCTGATTCTTCTCACAGTCACTGATTGAAATCTAAGGCTGGTCTGCACCACCCTCCGCTTGCCTGGGAAATAGTCACTTGGACGGATGAGACTCGAGACAAATCAGGGTGCAATTTCCAATCGTAAGAGCACACAGGGAGGTGGCTCAGACTCCTCCCATTTAGCAGGGTGCCCTGACTTTCATTTTAATGTCCCGCCATAGCTCACAGTAGGATGCATTGGCTTGGCATAGTCTGGGGGCCGGTCGTACAGAGAATTGACAGCAGCTGGCTCAAAAGTGGGCTGCACCAGGGTGGGACAAACTGCCGGCCGTGGAGGCCCCTCTCCAGCAGCACCACAGACCCCCGTGGCGGGCAGCTCCTGTCTCCACCCACGGCCAGGCAGACGCCTCGCTCCCGTTGCTAACATGCCCACTGTGTCTGTCCTCCCAGGGGCTTCTGTACAAACACCTGATCACCCACCACCAGGAGCCCTCGCACCGCCATCTCATCAGCACCTACGACGACCATTACAACCGGCATCATTACAACCCGGGCCTGCCTCCCCTCCGCTCCTGGAATGGGCACAAGTTGCTGTGGCTACCAGAGAAGTCCGACTTCCCCCTTCTTGGTACTTTCATAATTTGGGATTTTCCTCTGTGTTGGTCTGTAAAGGGTCCACAAAAGCACAGGGCTGAGGTGTGCCTGCCTCACGCAGAGGGAGCTACCTGTGCTACCCCGGCTCCGGGAGAGTGGCAGGATCAAATTATGGGGGAATGAGTCCTATTTCCCATCAGGGCTGCCGCCTGCCCTCTTCCCTTGACACAGGGTAACCTTGGCTGTGTTGTGACATCCTCACCTGTGCACTGGGGTGGCATGTTTACCTGCAGCACAGGTGGCAGGGAGCAACATCGCTGCACAGTCCCTATCAGTCCTATTCGCTCCATAAATAGTGACGGAATATTTCCCAGGTGGCATTCCTGCTGTAGCACCTGGGGACACAGCAATGATAAACACTGAGGAATTTCTGTCCTTGGGAAGTTGACATTCCAGTGGGGAGACAATAAAACACCATTACCGAATTAGAGAACTTACACATGAGTAAATAAGATAATTTCAGACAGGGATATGTGCCAAGGAAAGAAACGGGTTATGGATAGAAAGTGAGGTCGGGTATTTGTGAACCTTCTTTGGTTCACAAATTCCTCCTAGGGTTGATGTGCAGTGGTCTTTCTTGAGGGTATAGTTGAGCTGAGAAGGAGGGAGCCATGCAGGGATTGAGGGGAAGAGCATTCCAGGGGAGAAAGCAGTAAGTGAAAAAGTTCTAAGGCAGGAGTGGAGGAGAACCACACAGGGGCTTACAGGGTACAAGGGGAGTGGATTTTGTCCAACCCACATTCCAAGATCCTACAAGGGGATTTTTGCAGGACAGTGCCTTGATCTGGTTTACATTTCAAGCCACCCTGACCCTAATGAGGACACAGAGCAATGCCATCTCTTTGCAGTCCTACTTTTGATGCAGAGGGAAATGGCTCAGAGAATGAGCTGCTTGTCACTGCGTGACAAGGGTTTCTCCTCGACGTCACTCTCACAACCCACACTGCTCCTCTCCCTTCTGGGCTGGGAAAATGACCCAGGACCTGGCAGGGTCATACTCAACCACGCCATGGGGCTGACTTCTCCAAGGCTTCTGTAGCAGTGCCTGGTCTTTCTGGAGGACTCGGGAAACAGGCCCCACCCTGAGACTCTCAGGGGCTGCCCAAGCCGACGCTCTCCTGTGAGGCCGTCTCTTCCCTTTGGTGCCTCGCCAGGCTCGGTCCCTGATAGAGCAGCCTGGGAAACTCTCCAGGGCCCCCGTCACCCATTCTTGTGGTCAGGTGGGGCAGACTCCTTCTTTAAGCCCTGTTCATCCAGACCCTGGTTTCTCTTGCAGCGCCCCCTACAAATTATGGACTCTACGAGCGGCTGAAGCAGAGGTGGCTGGCATCCAAGGTTGGCCCGAGGGAGAGGGAGAGCATTTATACTTCGTCCTACCCCAGACCACCGTTGTGGGCTATGTCCCAGCGGGAGCACGCGATCCCGGTCCCTCCCCGTCGCCTGCACCCTGTCCCAAGCTTCTGAGAGCTGCCACCCAATCGGCAGCTCAGGCAGAACCAACTGGAGACCCACAGCGTCACTGGATTTGCCAGACACAGCGGCTGCAATAAACTCAGAGTACGGAACCCTGCCCATCGGACGCCCCTTAGAATCATGGTGTGTCGTACAGAACCCTCCCCTCCAAACCCACAGGGTCCTTTCTTTTCCGTCCCGCAATTAAAGCTTTTTGATGCTATTGGGGTGCCGTGTACGTGCAGAAGCCAGATTCTTACCATTGGAGAAAACTGGAAGGATCCTTAAGTTCAACCCCCTCGTTTCGCAGGAGGGGAAACTGAGGCCCAGAGAGGTAATGTGACTCCCTCAAGTTATCACCACTTGGTAAGTACCTCAATGAGTGTCTGGTGCAATGGGAAAAACGGATGTGACTATGAAACCCATCTTGAAAATTCCACGGAACAGCTGGCTGTGGTTCTGAGGAGGCGGCGCCGTGGAGCCGTGGTAGGAAGGAAGCCGCGTGTCCGCTGTTGCCTGGGCCGGGGGGGCGTGCACTGGCCACGGGCTCCGAGGAAGGGGAAGACACGTAGCATCTCCCTCTGCCTCTGAGCTCTCAAGTCTTTCTATGCGTTTGGGCAGAGGGGAGAACCTCTGGCAAGAGGTCTGGGAATGAGGATGGATCTCCTGACAGAACTCAGACGCCGTCCTCGCCCAGCACAGGAGTCCGCAGTGTGCACACTCGGCCCTTGGGCCAAACTGCCCCTTCAAAGAAACACCAGCAGAAACCCTGGGACTCTGTGCTTGGCCCACGGGCGCGTGTGTGCTTAGGCAGTGATTTTGCTGTGCAGACGATAACATGATTCCCAGTTTCGGAGCCTGGGTCTGTGCCATTCTTTTCACAGGACACCTGCTGGCCTCAGGCCCTCTGCAGCACCTACTCCTGTTCCTGCCTTATTCATCCAGGTGTCTTCCCTACTGCCCAAAAGAGCCTGGCACAGACCAGGTGCTCAATAAACGTGTGTCGAATGAATGAATGAATGCGCGACTGAATGAATGACAGGAGGAGGAGCCAGGGGATGGAGGAAGGTGGCTGAGGAGGCAGCTGTGGGGGGAGTGGAGCTGGCCTTCCTCACACCTTGCCATCCATCCGTCCATCCCACAAATACCCACGGAGCCACGACTGGGCCGGCCCTGACCTCGCAGAGCCTCCGTCCCGCAGGAAGAGGAACAGGAGACAAACACTCACGGGACAGAGAGGCGGCTGGACTGGAGACCCTTGAGGGGGCCGGGGAGGGAGGGAGGGTATGGGATGTGTGGGAGCATAAAGGGTGCCATGATAGCCAAGTGGGGGTGTGGAGCCCTGACTAGCCAGGGCAGGGCCAGGGAGGGCTTCCCAGAGGAAGGGTCATTTAGGCTGAGGCCAGAAAGCTGAGGGGGATTCGCCAGCTAAAGGAACAGGTGGGGAGGGAGGAGAGGGTGGCTCAGGCCACAGAAAGAGCCTGGGAGAAGGCTCTGATGTGGGAAGGCGCTTGGCAGGTTAGCTAGAAGCCCAGAGAGGTGGTGTCTTAGTTTGCTATTACGGCTGCAACACAATACGGCAGCATCAGGAAACCGGGGGAAGCCAAGGGAGCCCACGGACTATGGCTGCCCACGCCTGGGCAGCATCCTTGGTTCCCACCACACACCTTACAAAGTGACCGTGAGCACTACAGCAGCCAGAAGTACCAGAGTGTCATGTGTCCCGAAGTCAAACTAAACCATTGCGACTAGATTAACAAATCGGGGTGCACGACCAATAGCTGTGGCTCCGGTTGCCCGGGGTGGAGGAGTTTCCTGCCTTTTCCCAGAGGAAAATCCAGCCAGTGAGGGTCTATTTCCTTACAGCAACACACGTTTACTCTCTTACAGCCCTGGAGGCCAGAGTTGACGGGGGCTACAGGGCTGCGTTCCTTCTGGAGGGTCTCGGGGTGAATTGTTTCCTTGCCTCTTCCGACTTCTAGAGGGTGTCACCATTCCTCATCCATGGCCTGGTCCTCCCTCTCTAGAGCCACAGTGCAGCACTTTCTCCTCTGCCTCCCTGCATGAGGACCCGTGTGGGGACACTGGGGCCCTGGATGACCCAGGATAACCCCTCAGCTCGAGACACTTCACTTAATCGCACCTGCAAAATTCCTGCTGAATATAAACTAACATATTTACAGGTTCCAGGATGAGGATGTGGACATTTTAGGAGGTGTCACCTCCCAAACAGAGGGGTTCGTTTGGTTGGCAGGTATCAGGCCAATAGACACAGCCAAGTTGGTTACAGGAAGGGTTGTACTTATACAAGGTAAGGATCACACCGGGGATGAGTCCCAAAGCAATGTGTCCCCTAACCATGGGGTCAGGCTGGTTTTATAGTCAGAGGGTAATGAGGTGTGATTTGATTGGATCTTGCCTTGGGGTGACACTAGGGCTTGATCTGATTGGATCCTGGATCCTGCCATGCTGTGTCCGCTTCTTAATTCAGCCCCTGCTCCTCGGTCCAAGCACTTAGGTTCTGCCCATGGTCACAGGCTTGGTTCATCTGGGCATGCTCAGGTTATGTGACCTTCAACCTGGTGGGTCCATGGCAACTGAAAAACAACCCACAACTTTGTTACATAAAAGTTGAGCCAGTGGTGGCACATGCCTATAATCCCAGCAGTTTGGGAGGCCGAGGTGAGAGGATTGCTTGAGGCCTGGAGTTCAAGACTGCCCTGGGCAACATAGTGAGACTCGGTCTCTGCAAAACAAAAAAAAAAGTTGAGAAGATTGGTCTGGAGCAGTTACAGAGGGACAAGGAGGGGAAAGTCCTCTGCGTGAGACACCTGCTCAGTCGCTCACCCTCCAGCACACCCTGTCCAGGCAGCTGGGATGATCGGGGCAGTGGTGGGGGATTCGGTGGGTCCCCCAGACTTCAGCTGCCCACAGCTGATCAGCACCTCTCAGCCCCCCACCACGCACTTTAAAAAGTGACCGCGAACACTGCGGTGACCAGAAGTACTGGAGCCTTAGGATTCCGTGTTCAAAAGCTAAACTAAACCATTGCAACCAGATCAACAGTTGGGGTGCACAACCAATAGCTGTGGCTCCGGCTGCCCAGGGCGGAGGAGTTTCCTAACTTTCCCAAAGGAAAATCCAGGCAGTGCGGGTCTATTTCCTACATCCCTGCTTCAACTCAGCCAGCAGTTCCCAAACTTGAGCCACAGCAGCTTCCCCTGGGTGGCTTGTTGGAACACAGGTGCTGGGCTCCCCACCCCCTGGGTTTCTGATCAGTAGGTCTGGGGTGGGGCTGAGAAGTTGCTTTTCTGACAAGTTCCCAGGGGGTGCGGCTGCTGTTGGGGTGGGACCCACACTTTGTAACCACTTCACTAGGCTCAGCTGGTCTATTTTTATTTTATTTGTACAACTTCTTTGGAATAACAGATTCTGCAGTGAAAATAAAGATAGTAAACATTCGGTCTGATGCTGTGGAGGGCCTCCTGCAGCTATGGTAGGAGGCTATGACTCTGGAATTTTATTGCAAAGCAGTAAGATGAGCAGTGAATTGTTAGGAACTGGGACAGTGAGATGTCACTGCTGAGAGCACTGACAAACATTCTGTAATTCCTGTCCCACCACTTATGGGCTGTGTGGTCTTGAAGAAGTTACTGCCCGTCTCTGAATCTGTTTTTAACAAATGGATACAAGGATGATCTCTATTCTCAGAAGTACTGAGCCCTAAGCTTAGTGCATAATTAATCCTCCATAATTGGTGGATGCCATTGTTTGACATTCGAAGACAACAGGCATAATCGAGGAAACAGCCCAGGCCACAGAGGACGACTCAGACCTGAGACAGAGGCCACCCACATACCAGCCACTCCCTCTGCCAGGCCGCCAGGCCTTGGCTGTAGAACTCAGCACCAGAAAATTCCTTAGGAGCCAAGCCTGGGCAGTACCTGGGACAAGCCTGCCCCCTGGTGGCCAATGACACCAATTTGCAGAGGTCTGTGGTTTCAGATTCAGGCTTCTCTGTGATGGGCACTAATTCCAGGCAGCAGGTGTGAAAATAATTCAAAACAGAATTTCCCCTCAGTGATTTTCTGTTTCTTCTTGGAAAGCATCTGAGGAGCGGAGGTGAACGTGGGTGTACCTACCTATGCTCGGAGAGTTCATGCTTGAACTTGAAGGCTAAGCACTGTCGGCCCTCGAGCCCTGTGGGGTGCATATCTGGGGCCCAATCCTGACCTGACATGAACCTGGGCATGTCCCTTCATGCCCTGGGCCTGGGTTTCTTCATCTGAGAAGTGAGACATCTCTGAGGTCCCCAGGGAGACTGGGGTGGAAGGCTGGACCCCAGCTGCTCCTGAGTCCGGCTTTTCTGTTACGTGTTGTTTTCTCGTGGCCTGGAATTCCCACAGCGCTGGTGTAGGAGGGGTGATGCATGAGGTTTTGGGGAATCCAGGTTCCCAACTCCCACCGCCAGGGTCTTCCCACCGCTTCCCACTGCAGGAGGCTTCCCCACCAGGGAGAAAGTTCTCCTCTGTCCCGTGCAAAACCCCCGCCTCAGTCAAGTTGCCCAGTATCTGTCTCCAAGAGACACGAGCCCCAAAGCCCCCAGGGTCAGGCAGGGAATGAGTGAAGGGGCCCAGGTGGGGATCGGGGAGACCTGGAGGAGGGCACAGGACCCCCAAAGGGACGGCTGCCTCTCACTTCATGCCCAGTGACGCCCTTTGGGATTTGGGGCCAATATTGCTGGATTTTTTTCTCCTCAAGGAAACTGGAGAGTGAATTGTGATATAAACTCTGATTTTTATGCTGGCCACAAATTTTATTTTTTTCTCTTTAAAATTTTTTAAATTTACAAATAATAAGTGTATCCATTTATAGGGCACAGTAGGATGTTTTGATATGTGTATACCGAACGTTGTGGAATGATTAAGGCAATTGTCATACCAATCACCTCAATGTTTACTTTTTTGTGGTGAGAACATTTCAAATCTCCTCTCTTAGCAATTTAAACTATA